TGGCCTCCCCTTTTGATTTCAGGAGGTTCGTAATAGGGAGGGCGATGCTGGTGAACGAGGGAATAAATTGACGATAAAAATTCGCAAATCCCCAAAAAACTTTGCAACTGTTTGTGGGTGCAAGGGGGTGCCCACTCAGTGAGGGCTTGGACCTTTGCTGGGTCCATCTCGATGCCATCATGGGAGATGCGATACCCAAGGTAGTCAATTTTTTCCTGATGAAATTCACACTTAGACAATTTCGCATATAGCTCTGCTGCCCAGAGTTTTGTTTTAGCACTGAGCGGACCAGTTTCACGTGTTCTTCACGTGTTTCTGTGTAAATAAGGATGTCATCAAGGTAGACCATCATGCCTTTGTAGAGGTGGTCATGCAAAACGTCATTAATCAATTGCATGAAAACAGCTCGTGCCCCCTGTAGGCCAAATGGCAGTACCCGGAATTGAAAACAACCAAGAGGGCAGTTGAACGCAGTCTTCCACTCGTCACCCTCCTTAATTCTGATTCTGTAATAGGCCTCCCACAGGTCTAATTTTGTGAAAATTCTTCCTTTTCCCAAATGGGCTAGCATGTCCTTTATTAACGGCAACGGGTAGAGATTCTGAATAGAGATAGCATTTAGATTTTTATAATTCACCACCAAGCGGAAGGAGCCATCTTTCTTTCCTCTGAAAATAACAGGGGCAGCCACCCGGGGCCTAGTAGCCTCAATGAAACCTCTCTGCAAATTTTTGTCAATAAACTTTCTTAACTCATCCATTTCATGAGGGGTCATTGAATAAATTTGAAGTTTCTGAATTTTTACTCCGGGAAGGATATCAATGCTGCAATTGGTGGCACGGTGTGAGGGTAATTTATCAGATGACTTTTCACTGAAAACATCTTTCAGGTCCCAATATTCTTTTGGGATTTTCTCTTCCCCCTCAATTTTTTCTTGCCCCCTGGCTGTTAGTTTGGGGTCAACGTTACACCATTTGGGAGCCTCCCACTCTCCTTTAGGGTGTGTAGCAGAACAGTTACTCTGTTTGGGGGCCTCCCCCTCTCCTTTACTCCGCTTGGGAGCCTCCCCCTCTCCTTCAGGGGGTGTAGCAGATCGGATGCGTATCCACCCTTTCCTCCAATTGATGTGTGGATTCCATTTACGCAACCAGGGTAAACCTAATATAAGAGGCCGATCCATTCCTGGGGCCACAATAAAACCTATTGACTCTTGGTGAGTNGCAGTAGATGGTGAGAACACTTCCTTTGTACAATCCTCCTGTGCTGACATTTCCCCAGCCACATTCAATGCCCCCCCCCCGTCCCCGTTTCAATGGCAGCCGAAAGCAAGCAGCAAAACAGAGGCTGACACTATGTTTGTTAAGTGAATCACTGCAGTTGCTAAGTTAGTAAATGAATCTGGATCCCACATTGACTTTGCTTGTTAGAAGTTTTCAAAAAATGATCACGCACACGCTCATTGGGGCCCCAACCCGGAAGGAGCTGACCGGGGGAGTGCTGGCCAATGAACTCTTGGTTTCTGGCATGGGCATGCATGCTAGCCAGCTAGTCTTCCAGTTACTGGTATGTATGCAGGCGACAATCAGCTGGCCAGCATGCATGGACTTGCCAGAAAACAGAAGACCACCTCTTCCAGTTTCCGGCACTGATACATGTACAAAGGCCAGCTAATCATCGTGCGCGCATGTGTGCCAGAAAAAGGAACAGGCGTGCCATAGGTTCGCCCTCACAGCCCAATACCATTTCAGACAAATGGTTGTCCAATCTCTTCTTAAAAACTTCCAGTGTTGGAGCATCTACAACTTTTGGAGGCAAGTTGTTCCACTGATTAATTGTTGTGTCAGGAAACTTCTTTTCTGTTGCTCTTTTGAATGGCGTGATAAAAGTGTTTTATCTTCGAGGCCTGTTTTCTGGAGGTAGTTTCATACACCATTCAAAAATAATTCACTTCCACTATAGGGGGAGTAGAAAGCAGCGCCAAAGCAGAGGAAAAGAGAAAACAAAGAGAACGAAGAGGAAGATGTGCTGCCGCTGTCCCCACCGCTTCCGCTCTTGGATTTCAGGTAACTCAGTGGCTCTGAGCTCCTCCATCTACGGTTCCGTGGTTCGAATCCCTAGAATAGGTCTCCTGCCTGAGCAGGGGGTTGAACTAGATGACCTCCAAGGTCCCTTCTAACTCCGTTACTGTTAACGGTATGAAAGGGACTGTAAGGCAAATAGGTGGGTGACGCGGGGGGGGGGGCGAGGAGAAAGAGAAAATTGGGGAAGGGAGTGGCAAATGCCTGGGCAAGAGCGGATGGGAGATGGCAGGAACAGAAGGAACCGAGGAAAGCCACTTAGCTCGGCTCAGGAGAGAGAGAGAGAGCGAGAGCGCCCGTAGGTGAGGCGGGGCGGGGAGAAAAGGCAAAAGCGGGGAGAAGGGGGCGCGCGCGCGAAGGTGGGTGAAAGAGAGGGGAGGGGTGAGTTTGAGAGCGAGAGAGGGAAGCGGGAGGGGAAAGATGATGAGGGGGGAGGAGAAACGAGACCAGTCGGAGGGCGAAGAAGAAAAAACCGGGGACAAAAAAGAAGAGAAAACGAGGCTCTTTTTTCCCCCGTCTCTCAGGTTCCCTCCTTCTCCTCCCGCCCCTTTTCACAGAGCCGCTGCAGCTTCCCGCAGCCGCGCGCTCCCGTCGATTGGCGGACTCGGAGGAAGGTCCTCCTCCTTTTCTCCCTCCCTCCCTGCCCCCCCTCCCTCGCGAATGAGAAGCGGTACTGATTGCGGCGAGGAAGTTTTGGACCTTTCTCGCTGCCGTAGGCTTCTTACACCGCGGCAAGTCCCGACGGGATCTTTAGCAAGGACCGGCTCAGGATTTCGAATGGAGCGGAGTTCGGCGGCAGTAAGCACGGTGAGGCGCCTCCGGAGCCAGGAGCCGCCGCTACACAATAATAACCAGCAACAAGGCCGACGGCGGGGACAGCAGCAGCAGCAGCATCAGGAGCCTCCGAAGAAAATCTGGGAGAAAGAAGAAGATGAGCGGGACGGCAAGAAAAAGTCGGCAGGGAGAGGCGCGAGCTCCCTCCCGGAGCTGCTGACGGCGCTCGCGCTGCTCCTCTACTTGCTGGGTCTTCGCGGGCTCGTGCATGTTTCCTTCCAGCAGTTGGTGAACGAGGCGAGCGACCCCGCGGAATTCAACGCCCCGCGCGCCAGGTAATTGACAGTGCCATGCGCTCATCCCGCCTCCCCGTGGGTGCCAATAGAGGACGGGTAATTGATCCGCTTGGAATAAGAAGCACCTAGTCCGAGTGATGTTTTATAGGGATATATAGATACATAATTCACTGAAGAGAAGAAACTGCGCGTTTCGTTCAGTGTTGCTGCCATACTAACGTTCGCGAGGGTCTTCCCATTTTTCCATGATTATTGCTAAACGAGAAACTTTGCTGGTTGATCTTTGGAGGGAAATTAGGTATAGGCCAATAGAGTCCTTCAGTAAACCATAAAGGGTGGGGGGCTTCTCCTGAATTCCTGGTTTTATCTCACCAGGTTGTAGGTTCTACATCTCTATTTTATGTAAAAGAGGATAGTGGCCTTTGACATTTCCAATTAAGTATAGAGCAGTGTTTCCCAACCTTGGCAACTTGAAGATGTCTGGACTTCAACTCCCAGAAGGGACTTCAACTACCAGTTGGGAAACACTGGTATAGAGGAATGTGTATATAACCTTAAGGAAGAGATGCAAGAACATTTAAGGCAAAATAAGGGATAACTCAGCCCTCAGAATGAAGATATGACAAATAAATTTGAAATAACATTGCTTTGAGTCTGTTATAAGGGGGCAGAAGGAATTTGGCAGGCTTTAAAAGATTACTTTTTTTATTATACCTTACAATAGTAAAATGCCATTTATGGAATCCTTGCTCTGCTTTCTGATCTGGTCTGCACGGACAATAACAGAGTGACAGTAAAAGTCTATTGGTTACTACTTTGATTCAAGAAGGAAAGTACAAAAGCCATAGTTATCTTTATTCTCCTTTGAAAAATGAATTGTATTCTCTATTTGGGCTGTGGTGTGAACAGACCAGGAATAAGAAGAGCAAGGTTCAGCCGTAGAAACTCACAGGATGAAATTGGGACAATCACTCTCCTTTGGCCCAGTTTATCTTAGAGTTCTTATAGGAATAAAATAATGGGAAATCCCTATGCATACAAGATAGGTAGGTAGGTAGATAATCTTTTTGGGAGAAGAGAGTATGCAAAGAAATATATTTAACGAGAACATAAATAATATTTGCTGCTCAGAACCAAACATTTCTCTCTTGAAGTTGAAGAGTTTGTATGTGAGTTTTATTTATATGTGCAATTTGTTTATGCAATGTATTCATGCAAATTTATTTAAGCAATATATGTATTTATTTATGCAATTTATTACACCCCCTCTGTCCCAATGGATGCTCAGATATTAGACAATTCCCTTTTGAGCAATCCTTGCTGATTTTCCCTCAGGCCCACTGCATGTGCAGAGAGAACTTGTAGAGATGTTGGATAGCCATTTGTCTGAAATGGTATAGGGTTTCCTGCCTAGGCAGGGGGTTAGACTGGAAGACCTCCAAGGTCCCTTCCAACTCTGCTATTGTATTGAGAAGTAAGATCGGTCAATCTATTTCACTTGGCATGGAGCATTTGTAGAAGCCAAAATGAACATAATGAAAAGAGATAAGAGTTCCTTTCAATATTTAGAGAATAAGCAGTACTTCACTATTGAGGTGAAAATGTTTGATTTGGAGGCATAGAGGCATACATCAAGCCAGTTAAATATTGAATGGCTTTCTCCTGCAGTGACCTGAATAATGGGAAGAATAACCACACCAGTAATGAATCACTCTGAGTGAATGCCTTTTGTAGATTTTTGTATCACCTTACCCAATGTTTACTTTTGTATGGTTAATTTGAGGTTTATTTAAACCTTGGTGTAAATTGTGCAACCTTCTTTTGATGTGGAAACCATATAGACAATTTAGTGCAATGCTGAATAGACAAATGATCTACATTTGCTATTTCTATTTCTTACAATATTTAAGTAAGATCCATCTTTATATTTTTGAAAGTTATGAAATCAGGAAAGGGCAAAGAGTAACATATCCCCTTTTTATACTGCTTCCATTTCTTTAATCCTCTGAATATTTCTTTCTTATATCTGTAGATATGGTATCCACATTTTTATACCAACCTGTATATATATAAATAAACATTTTTCTAGCTTTCTGTGAATATTATTCTGTAGGTTATTCTTGACTTTAGGGGTGAGTAACAAAATCAATTACAACATTTCTTTTAATAAAAGTAGCTGATGCAGAATGCATTATTTTTTATTAATTTCTTAAATGAAATTTGAGCTATCAGTTATATTTCAGTATCTTTTGATCTTTGATCTTTTTGAACAATTTCTCATCTATCCAAAATGGTGTTTATATAGAATTAACTCATATTGATTTGATTATAATTTAATTTTGAGTCTAGAATCTTTAACATACTCACCTTGCTTCATAATGAATGCTACCATACTAATATAATTTGCACTTAATTTACAAGCAGATTAATACTTCTTTTTACTATCTATTATGTTATAAATCTCCCTAGTAACTAATATAATCTAGGTACATTACAAATTTCTCATGAAAATGTATGTTATAAAAGAATTTAAAACAGTAAAGTGAAAATAATAACATACTGTTCTATTATACTGTTACTTAAATCATATTGAATGAATACAACACTATGAAAATGCTTGGACACTTTAATGCAGGTGAAGATGTAGTTCCCTGGACAGGTTATTCCCTAAGCAGCAAACAGCTAAGATCCACTAAAAGAAGGATCTGTCCTTCTAGCCTTCTAGAACAGGGAAAAGACAGTAAGTTAAATATTGGCAGCAAATATTAAGTAGTCATTGTTCTCAGATTTCTACGCAATCCTGAAAAGAAGTTGATGGATTATGTGCCATCAAGGTACTATCAACTCTTAGTAACTACATGGATAAATTTTCTTCCTAATCTGGTGCTTCTGATCTTCCAATTCCCATTGTTCCCATTGCCATGGTAACTGAGTCAATCCATCTTGCTCCTGCTTGTTCTCTTAATTTCTTCCACTTTTCCCAGCATTGTCTTCTCCTGAGGGGAAAAAAAGTCACTTTAATTAGGGAGATTCTGTGCTTATGGGAAGCCCTTCCAAATAATATTCAAAGCATACATAGTCCTGTTATACTACATATAGATAGGTTGCAGACTACACCTCTACTGCTACAAGAAAAGCCAAATATCTCAGTTCAGTGATAAAATTCATTTTTTTTTACTACCGGTTCTTTGGGCGTGGCTTGGTTGGCATGGCAGGGTAAGGATACTGCAAAATCCCCATTCCCTCCCCACTCCTGGGACCAGCCAGAGGTGGTATTTTCCACTACTCAAAATTTCCTGTTCTCCAGAACCTGTCAGAACCTGCTGAATTTTACCCATCTCAGTTCCTGTTTAAAAACATCTACAAGTTCCAGGTTTCATGTTTATTTATCAAGGAAAATAGTCCAATAACATTAGAAGAAACTTCCCTACTTTTACAATTTCTTCAACTTTAGAATATTTTGAACCTGAATTATATTCCAGATTGATTTTGTATTACCGTATATACTCGAGTATA